CCCACTTCTTCTTTCTCCACAGTGTCCCCTGGGATCTCTCTCACCCCAGCGTTTTGGAGCAGGATCCACAACCCCCTCAAGCAGTGCCGGCTCCCCACACAGCACCGTGTCAGCTGCTGGCTCTTCCACACTGGGACTCAGTGAGGGATCTACAAGCCCCTCAACGAGCCCCACTTCTCCTCTCTCCACAGTTTCCTCTGGGAGCTCTGGGACCCAAAGTCTAGGGGGAGGATCCACAACCCCCTCAGGCAGTACAGGGTCACCACACAGCACCGTGTCAACTGCTGGCTCTTCCACACCGGAGTTTGGTGAAGGCTCTAGCCCGGCTTCTCCTCTCTCCACAGTGTTCCCTTGGAGCTCTGGCACCACAGGCCTCAGTGGGGGAACCACAATCCCCTCAAGCAGTGTAGGCTCACCTCACAGCACTGTGTCAGCTGCTGGCTCTTCCACACCAGGCCTCAATGAAGGATCTACAAGTGCCTCAACCAGCGGCTTCTCCTGTCTCCACAGTGTCCCCTGGGAACTCTGTCACCCCAGGCCACAGTGCGGGATCCACAACCCCCTCAAGCAGTGCTGTCTCACCTCACAGCACTGTGTCAGCTGCTGGCTCTTCCACAACAGGCCTCAGTGAAGGATCCACAAGTGCCTCAATGAGCCCGGCTTCTCTCTCAACAGTGTCCTCTGGGAGTTCTGTCACTCCAAGCCCTGGCGGGGAATCCACAACCCCCTCAAGCAGTGCAGGCTCACCACACAGCACCCTGTCAGCTGCTGGCTCTTCCACTCCAGGCCTCAGTGAAGGATCCACAAGTGCCTCAACGAGCCTGGCTTCTCTCTCAACAGTGTCCCCTGGGGGCTCTGCCACCCCAGGCCTCGGCGGGGGATCCACAACCCCCTCAAGCAGTGCTGTCTCACCCCACAGCACCATGTCAGCTGCTGGATCTTCCACACTGGGGGTCAGTGAAGGATCTACAAGTGCCTCAACGAGCCTAGCTACTCTTCTCTCCACAGTGTCCCCTGGGAGCGCTGGCACCCCAGGTGTCAGCTCGGGATCCACAGCCTCCTCAAGTAGTGCAGGCTCACCACAGACCACCGTGTCACCTGCTGACTCTTCTACACTGGGCCTCAATGAAGGATCTACAAGAGCCTCAACGAGCCCCACTTCTCCTATCTCCACAGTGTCCCCTGGGATCTCTGGCACCCCAGACATCAGCGCGGAATCCACAACCTCCTCTGGCAGTGCAGGCTCAGCACACAGTACCGTGTCAGCTGCTGGCTCTTCCACACTGGGGCTCAGTGAAGGATCTTCAAGGGCCTCAATGAGCCCCACTTCTCCCATCTCCACAGTGTCCCATGAAATCTCTCTCACCACAGCCGTTGGAGCAGGATCCACAACACCCTCAAGCAGTGCTGTCTCTCCTCACAGCACTGTGTCAGCTGCTGGCTCTTCCACACCAGGCCTCAATGAAGGATCTACAAGTGCCTCAACCAGCCCGGCTTCTCTTGTCTCCACAGTGTCCCCTGGGAACTCTGTCACCCCAGGCCACAGTGCGGGATCCACAACCCCCTCAAGCAGTGCTGTCTCACCTCACAGCCAGTGTCAGCTGCTCTCTTCCACATCGGGCCTCAGTGAAGGATCTTCAAGGCCTCAATGAGCCCAGCTCTTCCCCTCTCTACGTGTCGCCTGGGAGCTCTGGCACCATGGCTTTGGCACGGGATCCACAACCCCTCAGGCAGTGTAGGCTCACCACACAGCACTGTGTCAGCTGCTGGCTCTTCCACAACAGGCCTCAGTGAAGGATCCACAAGTGCCTCAATGAGCCCGGCTTCTCTCTCAACAGTGTCCTCTGGGAGTTCTGTCACCCCAAGCCCTGGCGGGGAATCCACAACCCCCCTCAAGCAGTGCAGGCTCACCACACAGCACCCTGTCAGCTGCTGGCTCTTCCACTCCAGGCCTCAGTGAAGGATCCACAAGTGCCTCAACAAGCCCCACTTCTCCTATCTCCACAGTGTCCCCTGGGGGCTCTGCCACCCCAGGCCTCGGCGGGGGATCCACAACCTCCTCTGGCAGTGCAGGCTCAGCACACAGTACCGTGTCAGCTGCTGGCTCTTCTACACTGGGGCTCAGTGAAGGATCTTCAAGGGCCTCAACGAGCCCCACTTCTCCCATCTCCACAGTGTCCCATGAAATCTCTCTCACCACAGCCATTGGAGCAGGATCCACAACACCCTCAAGCAGTGCTGTCTCTCCTCACAGCACTGTGTCAGCTGCTGGCTCTTCCACACCAGGCCTCAATGAAGGATCTACAAGTGCCTCAACCAGCCCGGCTTCTCTTGTCTCCACAGTGTCCCCTGGGAACTCTGTCACCCCAGGCCACAGTGCGGGATCCACAACCCCCTCAAGCAGTGCTGTCTCACCTCACAGCACTGTGTCAGCTGCTGGCTCTTCCACATCGGGCCTCAGTGAAGGATCTTCAAGCGCCTCAATGAGCCCAGCTCTTCCCCTCTCTACCGTGTCGCCTGGGAGCTCTGGCACCACTGGCTTTGGCACGGGATCCACAACCCCCTCAGGCAGTGTAGGCTCACCACACAGCACTGTGTCAGCTGCTGGCTCTTCCACAACAGGCCTCAGTGAAGGATCCACAAGTGCCTCAATGAGCCCGGCTTCTCTCTCAACAGTGTCCTCTGGGAGTTCTGTCACTCCAAGCCCTGGCGGGGAATCCACAACCCCCTCAGGCAGTGCAGGCTCACCACACAGCACCCTGTCAGCTGCTGGCTCTTCCACTCCAGGCCTCAGTGAAGGATCCACAAGTGCCTCAACAAGCCCCACTTCTCCTATCTCCACAGTGTCCCCTGGGGGCTCTGCCACCCCAGGCCTCGGCGGGGGATCCACAACCTCCTCTGGCAGTGCAGGCTCAGCACACAGTACCGTGTCAGCTGCTGGCTCTTCCACACTGGGGCTCAGTGAAGGATCTTCAAGGGCCTCAATGAGCCCCACTTCTCCCATCTCCACAGTGTCCCATGAAATCTCTCTCACCACAGCCGTTGGAGCAGGATCCACAACACCCTCAAGCAGTGCTGTCTCTCCTCACAGCACTGTGTCAGCTGCTGGCTCTTCCACACCCGGCCTCAGTGAAGGATCTACAAGTGCCTCAATTAGCCCGGCTTCTCCTCTCTCTACAGTGTCCCCTTTGATTTCTGGCACCACAGGCCACAGCACGGGATCCACAACCCCCTCAAGCATTGCAGTCTCACCACACAGCACGGTGTCAACTGCTGGCTCTTCCGCAGCAGGGCTCAGTGAAGGATCCACAATCGCCTCAACAAGCCCAGCTTCTCTTTCCACAGTGTCTCCTGGGAGCTCTGTTTCCCCAGGCCTCGGCGGGGGATCAACAATCCCCTCAACCAGTGTAGGCTCACAACACACCGTGTCAGCTGCTGGGGTCTTCCACGCCCGGGCTCAGTGAAGGATCTACAGGCGCCTCAACCAGCCCGGCTTCTCCTCTCTCTACCTTGTCGCCTGGGAGCTCTGGCACCACAGGCCTCGTTGGGGGATCCACAACGCCCTCAGGAAGTGCAGAGTCACCTCACAGCACGGTGTCAGCTGCTGGCTCTTCCACACTGGGGCTCAGTGAAGGATCTACAAGGGACTCAACGAGTCCCACTTCTTCTTTCTCCACAGTGTCCCCTGGGATCTCTCTCACCCCAGCGTTTGGAGCAGGATCCACAACCCCCTCAAGCAGTGCCGGCTCCCCACACAGCACGTGTCAGCTGCTGGTTCTTCCACACTGGGACTCAGTGAGGGATCTACAAGCCCCTCAACGAGCCCCACTTCTCCTCTCTCCACAGTTTCCTCTGGGAGCTCTGGGACCCAAGGTCTAGGGGGAGGATCCACAACCCCCTCAGGCAGTACAGGGTCACCACACAGCACCGTGTCAACTGCTGGCTCTTCCACACGGAGTTTGGTGAATGCTCTAGCCCGGCTTCTCCTCTCTCCACAGTGTTCCCTTGGAGCTCTGGCACCACAGGCCTCAGTGGGGGATCCACCATCCCCTCAAGCAGTGTAGGCTCACCTCACAGCACTGTGTCAGCTGCTGGCTTTTCCACACCAGGCCTCAATGAAGGATCTACAAGTGCCTCAACCAGCCCGGCTTCTCCTGTCTCCACAGTGTCCCCTGGGAACTCTGTCACCCCAGGCCACAGTGCGGGATCCACAACCCCCTCAAGCAGTGCTGTCTCACCTCACAGCACTGTGTCAGCTGCTGGCTCTTCCACATCGGGCCTCAGTGAAGGATCTACAAGCGCCTCAATGAGCCCAGCTCTTCCCCTCTCTACCGTGTCGCCTGGGAGCTCTGGCACCACTGGCTTTGGCACGGGATCCACAACCCCCTCAGGCAGTGTAGGCTCACCACACAGCACTGTGTCAGCTGCTGGCTCTTCCACAACAGGCCTCAGTGAAGGATCCACAAGTGCCTCAATGAGCCCGGCTTCTCTCTCAACAGTGTCCTCTGGGAGTTCTGTCACTCCAAGCCCTGGCGGGGAATCCACAACCCCCTCAAGCAGTGCAGGCTCACCACACAGCACCCTGTCAGCTGCTGGCTCTTCCACTCCAGGCCTCAGTGAAGGATCCACAAGTGCCTCAACAAGCCCCACTACTCCTATCTCCACAGTGTCCCCTGGGGGCTCTGCCACCCCAGGCCTCGGCGGGGGATCCACAACCCCCTCAAGCAGTGCTGTCTCACCCCACAGCACCATGTCAACTGATGGCTCTTCCACACTGGGGGTCAGTGAAGGATCTACAAGTGCCTCAACGAGCCTAGCTACTCTTCTCTCCACAGTGTCCCCTGGGAGCGCTGGCACCCCAGGTGTCAGCTCGGGATCCACAGCCCCCTCAAGTAGTGCAGGTTCACCACAGACCACCGTGTCACCTGCTGACTCTTCTACACCGGGCCTCAGTGAAGGTTCTACAAGAGCCTCAACGAGCCCCACTTCTCCTATCTCCACAGTGTCCCCTGGGATCTCTGGCACCCCAGACATCAGCGCGGAATCCACAACCTCCTCTGGCAGTGCAGGCTCAGCACACAGTACCGTGTCAGCTGCTGGCTCTTCCACACTGGGGCTCAGTGAAGGATCTTCAAGGGCCTCAACGAGCCCCACTTCTCCCATCTCCACAGTGTCCCATGAAATCTCTCTCACCACAGCCATGGAGCAGGATCCACAACACCCTCAAGCAGTGCTGTCTCTCCTCACAGCACTGTGTCAGCTGCTGGCTCTTCCACACCCGGCCTCAGTGAAGGATCTACAAGTGCCTCAATTAGCCCGGCTTCTCCTCTCTCTACAGTGTCCCCTTTGATTTCTGGCACCACAGGCCACAGCACGGGATCCACAACCTCCTCAAGCATTGCAGTCTCACCACACAGCACAGTGTCAACTGCTGGCTCTTCCGCAGCAGGGCTCAGTGAAGGATCCACAATCGCCTCAACAAGCCCAGCTTCTCTTTCCACAGTGTCTCCTGGGAGCTCTGTTTCCCCAGGCCTCGGGGGGATCAACAATCCCCTCAACCAGTGTAGGCTCACAACACACCGTGTCAGCTGCTGGGTCTTCCACGCCCGGGCTCAGTGAAGGATCTACAGGCGCCTCAACCAGCCCGGCTTCCTCTCTCTACCTTGTCGCCTGGGAGCTCTGGCACCACAGGCCTCGTTGGGGGATCCACAACGCCCTCAGGAAGTGCAGAGTCACCTCACAGCACGGTGTCAGCTGCTGCTTCTCCACACTGGGGCTCAGTGAAGGACATACAAGGGATCAACGAGTCCCACTTCTTCTTTTCTCACAGGTCCCTGGGATCTCTCTCACCCCAGCGTTGGAGCAGATCCACAACCCCCTCAAGCAGTGCCGGCTCCCCACACAGCACCGTGTCAGCTGCTGGCTCTTCCACACTGGGACTCAGTGAGGGATCTACAAGCCCCTCAACGAGCCCCACTTCTCCTCTCTCCACAGTTTCCTCTGGGAGCTCTGGGACCCAGGTCAGGGGAGGATCCACAACCCCCTCAGGCAGTACAGGGTCACCATACAGCACCGTGTCAACTGCTGGCTCTTCCACACCGGAGTTTGGTGAAGGCTCTAGCCCGGCTTCTCCTCTCTCCACAGTGTTCCCTTGGAGCTCTGGCACCACAGGCCTCAGTGGGGGATCCACAATCCCCTCAAGCAGTGTAGGCTCACCTCACAGCACCCTGTCAGCTGCTGGCTCTTCCACAACAGGCCTCAGTGAAGGATCTACAAGTGCCTCAACCAGCCCGGCTTCTCCTGTCTCCACAGTGTCCCCTGGGAACTCTGTCACCCCCGGCCACAGTGCGGGATCCACAACCCCCTCAAGCAGTGCTGTCTCACCTCACAGCACTGTGTCAGCTGCTGGCTCTTCCACATCGGGCCTCAGTGAAGGATCTACAAGCGCCTCAATGAGCCCAGCTCTTCCCCTCTCTACCGTGTCGCCTGGGAGCTCTGGCACCACTGGCTTTGGCACGGGATCCACAACCCCCTCAGGCAGTGTAGGCTCACCACACAGCACTGTGTCAGCTGCTGGCTCTTCCACAACAGGCCTCAGTGAAGGATCCACAAGTGCCTCAATGAGCCCGGCTTCTCTCTCAACAGTGTCCCCTGAGAGCTCTGTCACTCCGAGCCCTGGGGGGGAATCCACAACCCCCTCAGGCAGTGCAGGCTCACCACACAGCACAGTGTCAGCTGCTGGCTCCTCCACACCAGGCCTCAGTGAAGGATCTACAAGAGCCTCAACTAGCCCCTCTTCCCGTTTCCCAACCATATCTCCTGGGAGCTCTGGCACCACAGGCTTCGGTGGGGGATCCACAACCCCCTCAGACAGTGTAGGCTCACCACACAGCACCGTGTCAGCTTTTGCCTCTTCCACACCAGGCCTCAGTGAAGGATTTACAAGCAATGCAACCAGCCCAGCTTCTGCTCTCTCCACAGTGTCCCCTGGGAGCGCTGGCACCCCAGCCCTTGGTGCGGGATCCACAGCCCCCTCAAGCAGTGCAGGCTCACCACACAGCACCACGTCAGCTGCTGGCTCTTCCACACCTGGGGTCAGTGATCGATCTACAGTTGCCTCAAGGAGCCCGGCTTCCCCTCTCTCCACAGTGTCCCCCGGGAGCTCTGGCACCACATCCCTTGGTGCGGGATCCACAACCCCCTTAAGCAGCGCAAGTTCGGCTTATGCAACACTGTTCTCCGACAGCACCCCAACCTCAGGCCTCAGCCGTCAATCCACAAGCTTCCGAAGCAGTTTTGGCTCTACACACATCACACAATCACCCAACACTTCCCCTTCTCCTGGAATTGCTGAGGGATCTACCACTCTACAAGGCAGCTCCGCCCCTGCACACACAGCAGCGTCACCAGTGAGCTCTACAACAGCAGGGTCCAGCCAGGAATCTACGTCGTTTCCAGGCAACCTGGGTTCCTCGCACACAACAGTGTCTTCTAATGTTTCCACCCCCTCAGGCCTGGGCGAAACATCCACAGGGTTGCTCAGTGTCCCCAGCACCACTCACGCCACAGGGCCAGCCAACAGCTCCGGAACCCCTGGCCTGGGTGAAACATCGACCCCATTCCACAGCAGCCCGGGCTCAACTCCCACAACGGTGCCATCTGGGAGCTCCCCTGCCCCGGGCCCTGGTGGCTTCTCTACCGCATTCCCAAGCAGCCCCGGCTCCCCACACACGACAGTGTCACCTGCCGCTTCCGCCACTCCTGGACCCAGCGAGGCATGGACAACTTCCCAGAGCAGCCCAGGCTCAAAGGACCAAACGGAGTCTCCTGACACCTCCCCAACGGCAGGTCCCGGGGACGCATCTACCCATATCCCCGGCAGCCCGGGCACACTGCAGACCGCATTCACCACTGAGAGTGTACACACCTCATTTCCAGGTTCTGCCTCTTCCGGTTCAAGTATTTCTGGCTTCTCCTCCACAGCAGTGTCCGAGTCTCCTTCAGCCCTCACAACTTCTGGTGGTTTTCCTTGGCTATCACCGACTTCCCCTCCGTCCACTGCTTCTGCAGTTTCTGGGTTCAACACTACTTCCAGTCTTCTTTCGTCGTTCACTAGTTCCCGCACAGCTGTCACAGACACGGACTCTCCAGCTGTGACATCGTGTGAGTCACTTTGTATATCTTTCTATGAACTCCTTTGTCTCTTTGGACTTTTAATGTGATTCCACATTTTTTATGTTCTGGTTTCACTTTTTTAAAGCTTTCTTCTCATGATTACACATCATTTCTCTTTATAGATTTGTCACCTTTCCACAGGTATTAGCTTTGTTTTCTTTGGTTGTGGTCTTAGTATTCCCTCTTTCTCCCTTCCTTTTTTCTTCCATCTCTCCCTCCCTCCCTTCTTTCCTTCCTCCCTCCCTCTGTCCCTCCTTGCTTTCCTCCCTCCCTCCCTCCCTCCTTCCTTTCCTCCCTCCCTCCCTCCCTCCTTCCTTTCCTCCCTCCTTCCCTTCCTTCCATTTTTTCTTTCTTTCTCATGGTGTCCTTTGTCACCTAGAGTAGTGTGCAGTGCTATTATCATAACACACTGCAAACTGAACCTCCTAGGCTCTAGTGATCCTCTTGCCTCTATCTCCCAATTAGCTGTGACTACTGGTGCATACTACCACTCCCAGCTAATTTTTCTATTTTTAATAGGGATAGGGTCTCACTCTTGCTCAAGCTGGTCTTGAATTTGTGGCCTCAAGCAATTCTCCTGCTTCGGCCTCCCAATCTTGGTAGACCTTGTTTCCTTACTCCTTGCTATTTCTCCCATTCTTCTTACAATCCCCTCGGGATGGCATTGGAATCTGAGGGGTCTCTGTTGCTGTGTCGTCATCTGGTCCATCCCCCTCGTCTGCTCAGTGTTGAATTTTGAGACTTGGAATAGAAGCCAGTATTGTTGTCCCTTGGGCTTCCATGCTGACTGCTGTGAATTCTATCCCTCCACAGGGAACTGCCAGGATGGGACAACATGGAATGGAAAAGAGTGTGTCTGTCCCCAAGGCTACTTTGGTTACCAGTGTCAGACCCCCTTGGAATCCTTCTTAATAGGTAATGACTTTTTCTGAGACCTGCAGCTCTTCCCAGTCCCACTGACCACTTAAAATAGGTTGGCAGTGTTGGAAGGCTCAGCCTCCAAGGCCTCCCTATGTGGGTGGAGGACATGATGTGACTTTCCTCAGGCCATACTGCAGGTAGAACAAGGACCTTTTGTCTCCACTCCTTTTCACTAGCTGGCCTGCCCCTCTCATGAGGGATTTCTATGCCCACACTGTCTAGTTCCCTCCTCCATCCTGGCCACCAGCCCCCCACGGTTTGAGAGACAAGGGACAGAGTCTCAGTGACCCCCACCATCTTCCTCTTAAGTTTGCATCCTCTCTCCTACCCACTTCCTTCACCCCCAAGACACCAATAGGCAGAGAATGTATTAATCCCAGGGGACATTACGGAGAGGCTGCTGTGTCATGCATAGTGTGACCTGTTCCCACAGACGTCCCGGGAAAGATCAACGCCACTTTAGGTGTGATAGTGAAAGTGGTTTACAAGATTTTCACAGAAGACCTGAATAACACGGCTTCCCAGGCATACTTAAATTTTGTTGAACTATTCAAGAAAGAGGTAAGAGTGGGGACTGCCTGGACTCCCCATGGTGATGCCCCATGTGAGAGGGGATGTAGTGGCTCATCCTGACTTACTGATCAGAGCTCATAAACTCTCGGGGCCCCTCAATCTCTCCAGAGAGGGGGTCCTCTGGGAGTGTCCATCCTTGAACCCCACGCACCCAGCCACATCCAGCAGAGGGAGCTTCCTATGGGCTCATACATAGGCTGCATAGGGGAGCCTGGGGCTGCCCCAAGGTGGGGACCATGGGCCTCTGCATGCCCCAGCCCTGTGTGAGCTCAGCCACCTCGTTTTTTTTTCAGATGGATAAAGTTTACTCAGGCAACGACCTTCCTGAGTATAAAGGTGTCATCATTAGGGAACTTTCGTGAGTATGAGGGGGGGCAGGTGTATGGGGACCCCCTCTCTGTCTCTGCTCTCCTGCCTCCTCCCACCATGAATGGTTAGAGTCTCAGTACCTGGCTGGGCCAGAGGGGTCCCCAGCTTCTAGGCAACACCCGAGGGCCTTAAGATCATTCATTCATTCATCATTCAGCCACTTAACAAATATTTGTGAAAAGCCAGCCCTCTGCTAGATGCTGGGAACACAGTAGTCCCAGCCCTCCTGAGCTCAGAGTGGTAGAACACGGATCACAAAGTGGCTATGCATTCTGGTTAGGGTTACGGTACGGGACACACAGGGGGCAGGAGGAGGGCTCCTGAAAGGAAGCTTGGTGAGGTGGACAGAATTCTTCCCGGAGGAAGTGACAACTGAGCTGAGGCTTAAATGATGATGAGGAATGAGGGAGAGAGAAGAGGGAGGGAGGGAAATGACAGTAATGGGAATCGGTGACATGGAGCCCAGAGGACAGAGAGAAGGGCAGAGTCCAAGAACCTACAGAGATTGCTCAGAGCAGCTGGCAGATTGAGGGCAAAGGGTTGATGATGGAGAGGAGGACAGAAAGACAGCTCTTGCCAAGTTAGACTTCAGGCATCGACAGTGTAGCCAACGATTTAGGGATTGCCTCTGATTTGCAGAGCAGGCAGCTCAGTCTGGCTGCAGGGTGCAGAAGGTGTGGGCAGGGATCTACAAGAGAGAGGACAGTGCAGGAGAAGAGGGGTCCAGTGTGAAAGGTCTTTGGGAGGCAGGAACAGGGGATTATGGGGATTTGTGTGAGGGAGGAGAGGAGCGATGGCAGATTTCTGGGCTGCTAGAGACACGGGGTGCCTTGTGCGGGGCTGAGGGATGTCAAAAGGCATAGGATGGGGGAAGATGATGACCTCGGTGTCAGCCAAGCTCCAAGTGCCAGGGCCTCACCACATGGAGTATGTGCTTTGAGGGTCTCGGGGCAGACACAGGCATTGGACCCTGAAGGATGTGGCTAGAAGCCCAGGAGTGGACGAGATGGCCTGGGGTGGTCATGGCACAGGGATGAGGGTCTTCCAGGGAAGAAATTGGAAGGAACCAGCAAGTAAACAGTAGGCAGGGCCACAGTGGAGAGTGGAAAGAGGCAGACAGAGGTGGGAAGTGGGCTCTGAGGATGTCGTGTCTCAGCAGTGGTAAAGACAGGTTTCAGGAAGGAGGGAGGGAGCACTACACTGCCAGGGGTCCCCTCTGCCCCCACCTCACCCCACCCAGCATCAGCACCCTGGTCTCTGTTTCCATTTGGCTCAGGATTTTGCTAGTTTAAGTGCTCCTGAGTCCTGCCACTGACTTCTCTTTTGAAACGATGATGACAGGTGACTTCCCTTATTTCAAGACCTCTCTCTTCTGTAGTGTAACTGGCTGTCCAAGAAGTTTCCAAGTTGGAATCCTACGTTCCTAACATGACCTCACATTTCTTTCTCTTTTCTTTCTTTCTTTTTTTTTGCTTATTTACTTTTTTTTTTTTTTTTTGAGACAGAGTCTCGCTTTGTTGCCCAGGCTAGAGTGAGTGCCGTGGCGTCAGCCTAGCTCACAGCAACCTCAAACTCCTGGGCTCAAGCGATCCTCCTGCCTCAGCCTTCCGAGTAGCTGGAACTACAGGCATGCACCAGCATGCCCGGCTAATTTTATATATATATTTGTTGGTTGGTTAATTTCTTTCTTTCTATTTTTATAGTAGAGACAGGGTCTCCCTCAGGCTGGTTTTGAACTCCTGACCTTGAGCAATCTGCCTGCCTTGGCCTCCCAGAGTGCTAGGATTACAAACGTGAGCCACCACGCCCGGCCTTTTTTTGCTTATTTGCTTTTTAAAATATAATCTAAGTGCCTTTACTTTTTATTTAAAAATTTTTATTGTGGTAAAATATCCATAACATAAAATTTACCATTTCAATCAATTTTAACTGCCCATTTCAGTGGCATTAATACCTTCATATGGTTGTGTAACTATTACCACCATCCATCTCCAGAGCATTATCATCTTGCAAAACTGAAACTCAGTCCCCCTTAAACACTAGCTGTCCATCACCCCCTCCCTAGCCTCTTGGCACCCACCGCTCTACTTTGTCTCTATGAATTAGTCTACTCTAGGAACCTTATATAAGTGAAATCACAGTGTTTGTTCTTTTATGACTGCCTTATTTCACTTAGCATAATGTCCTCAATGTTGGGACAGGTATCAGAATTTCTTTCCTTCTTAAGGCTGAATAACATTCCAGTGTATGGATAGACCGCATTGTGTTCATCCATTCATCTGTTGGGCTGCTTCCACCTTTTAGCCACTGTGAATAATGCGGCTGTGAAAGTGGATCTGCAAAGATCTCTTTGAGACCCCATTTTCCATTCTTTTACCCCAAAGTGGAATTGCTTGAGCGTATGGTAATTCTACTTTTAGCTTTTTGGGGCACGACCATACTGTTTTCCACAGTGGCTGCGCCATATTGCATTCCCACCCACAGGGCACAAGGGTTCCTGTTTCTCCACATCCTCGAGCAAGAGCCTCTATTTTTACAGAAATGTATTTCACCAGTGGGCATTTATTGTGGTCACTGATATTTTGGGATCTTAAATTATTTTGCTCTACTGAGTCGTTAGCTGTGGAGGGGAGGGTCTGGATTTTTTCCTACCTCTGGGTCACGTGGCCGCTGCGTGAGCGCCACTTGCTGGGTGGGTGGGTGACATGCGGCAACTAACCGATTGACCAATTCCACCTCCAGCAATGGCAGCATTGTGGTGAAATATGACGTCGTCCTGGAGGCGAACTACACCGCACAGTATAAGCAACTGTTTGAAAACCTCACCAAGATCGCAAAAGCCAAGATTGTGACTGCAACCAAAAAAATTCCTGGTGATATTGATGAGTGCCAAGGTGGGCCCACCTAAAACCCCTGACATGGGTGGGAAGGGAAGGGAAGTCTTGGCTTCCCCCTCCATCCCCATCTCTCCTGTCTTCTGGAATGCCCAAGACTTCTGCTGGAGGAATCCAGAAACCAGGCTCGGGGCCTTCCTCAGACCCTGTGCTGCTCCCAGTCCCAGGCTGAGGTTGTCACCAACCTTCACGTCCCTATTCATGCCTGGGAATAGCTGCATGTCTAGGATGGGCCAAGACCCCACTCACACTGGCCCAGGGAAAGGTGTGGGTTAGAAGACCAGGGAGTCCCAGCTACCCCCAGGAAGGCAGAGGGGAGCATTTCTGTCCTGTTTTCCTTCCCACCCACCCTTAGCAGAGTCCACACTGTGCTACAGTGAGAAGGACACTTCCGTGGATGAGGCCGTGCAGCTAGGCTTCAACTTCCAGGGTAAGCAGCTGAGAGGAGCATGGGTGGTGAACGTGGGGGGCTAGGGGGCTTTATCCTGGCTGACGCTTGTACCCCACCCCTCACCACAGAGCAATGCACCCAGAATGCTGCCCAGGAGTTTGCGAAGTTCTACTATGTGGATGTACTGGATGGGAAGCTGGCCTGTGTGACCAAGTGCACCTCGGGGACACAGTCGCAACTGGACTGTCACAGGGGTGCATGCCAGCTGCAGCGCAGTGGCCCCCTCTGCCTGTGAGTGCCTCCCCAAGCCCAGCGCCCACCCTCTCCTGGTGGTAGGGCCTTCCCCCTCCCCCAGTTACCCACAGGTTGGGGGCTTGGGTAGGGCTTGGAAGGCGCCTCCTCCGCCATTTGTATATCCCTCTTCCCTCTGCCTGGGGTTCCCATCACCCTCCAGCCCACGAGAGTGAGGGGTAGGTGCAGATTATGGGTACAGACATCCTAGATTAAGTCCCTCTCTGAAAAAGTTCGTGCTATCGATTTCCAAATCTCTCTCTCTCTCTCTCTTTATCTCAATCTCTATTTCTATCATCAGTTTCCCTTATGTTATCTCAGCCGTGGCACGATTATCACCTCTAGCTGTAGCCAAGGCACCAAGTCCGAGAGACCATAAATTAAAGTACGAAATATAAGATGTGATAACAGCCCATCTAGGTGCCAGCTGCTTAGAGATTAGACAGGTAAACATCACGTGTCTGGGACGAGGCAGCCCAAACCCTGAGATCCCTCTGAGCGCTAGTCATTCTGAATTCCTGATCTGCAGTCCTGGGTCCCCGTCAGCCCTGGGGAGTGGGGGACCCAGGCTTCCCGGGTGCTGAGCGCCAGCCCTCAGAGGGAGGGAGAGTCAGTTTCCTGTGCTTTGGACATTGTTTTTTGCTTTGGGGACACTGGGTGTGCGTATTGCCAGTGGGCCAGCCTGAGCCTGCCTCTGTCTCCAGGTGTCCGAAATCGAATACTCATTGGTACTGGGGAGAGACCTGTGAGTTTAGCACCAGCAAGAGCCTCGTCTACGGGGTTGTGGGGGCTGTCATGGCTGTGCTGCTAGTCGCAGTGGTTGTCCTGGTCGTCTTCCTTGGCCTATCTCAGAGAAAACTGCACAGGTGAGCTTGTGGGACCAGCGCCATGGGCCCAGAGAGAGGGGACAGATGCAGAGCAGGAACCCAGGGCGGCCACCACCTGAACATCCTGAGGCTCTGCTCCTTCTAGCCCCATAGCCAGGGAGGTCAGCTGGGCCCAGGCGGGGTGCCCAGCCCCACCCAGCTCTAGGTACAGCAAAGAGCGGCCTCTGACATGCTATGTCCATTTGGCACAGTGTTGTAGTTGTTTTGTGCTACTATGGCAGAATACCACCCACTGGGTATTTATAAACAACAGAAGTTGATTTTGCTCATGGTTCTAGGGGCCGGGAAGTCTGAGATTGTGGGCCTGCATCTGGCGAGGGGCTTCTTGCTGCATTATAACATGGGGGAAGGGAGAGAGAGAGGAAGGGAGGCCTGAACTCAGTTTTACAGCAACCCATTCTTGCAGTAACAATGTTAATCCAGTCAAGAGGGCCAAGCCCTCAAGACGTAATAACCTGGGCAAAGGCTCCACCTCTTAGCACTGTTGCATTGGGGATTTGGTACCTTCCAACCATAGCACAGAGAAATGGAAACAGAAACTTATGTACTAAAATTAGGTTATGTGATGAAATAGCCCGTGGTTTATTACCCACAGAGCGGCACCTCCACGCTAGGAGACTGGGAATAGGCCAGCTGGGTCTGCCTTTTCCCAACTGTCAGTGGGGTGAGGTGCACCTGCTAAGGTTGCCATGAAGCCCCTGGCAAAGTACCTGGCTCGCGGTTGGCAATCGAAGGGAGCCACCCTGATTTTAGCCCAATGCCCCCATCTCACAGATAAAGAAACTGAGGCAAACTGAAGGGAGTGAGGGGCAGTGGGGTGGGAGGTGGCCATGGTGATGTTGCTCTTTGTCTTCTCCCACCATCGCCACTGAAGGGAGGGCCCTCTCTGGCTCAGGGCTGTGGCTGTGACGGTCCCCTTGAGAGAGCCCCCTTCTCAGCCTCCTTGCCTCCAGCTGCTCACGGCATTTCTGTTGGCAGGCAAAAGTACGATGTGTCTCCAGACTGGAAAAGAGAAGACGTTGCAGGCACCTTCCAGAACACAGGCATCTGGGAAGGTACTTCTCATTAGAGCAAGGGGGTGAGCAAAGCTTGAGGGTGGAGGAAGGCAGGGAGGCACCCATGGCTTCAGGGGTGACACGGCTGGGGTTGGGGGTAACAGCCTGTTCCACATGCTGCAGCCAAGTGCACACACTCCCTCTGCAGCCTCCAACCCAGACGCTTCCTCATGTACAGGGGCAGGGGTGGCCGAGGGTCAGATCCTGCCCTGAGACCACCCTGGTGAGAGCATCAGACACGCTAAGCGGGATGAGAGGGCATTGGAGCACAGAAGTGTGGCTGACGCACCTGGGTGGGGTGGGGGTCAGAAAAGGGCTGAGCTGACTCTAGGGCAGGTGAGTAAGCAAGTGCGCCTCCTGCTCTCACACACCCAGTAAGGAGGGAGGAGCAGGGACAGGTGGCCTAGGTGGGGGTGCCTCGTGGACACAGTCTGGAGAGGGGACGCACTTGCCTGTGGGGGGGCTGGAGGCAGGTTGGTCTCACCAAGAAAGAGGAAGCTGAGGGCCGTGAGGCTGGCAGGGCCTGGTTGTGGAGGACTGTGAGGGCCAGAATGGGGTGGGGGGATCCACTGGGTGGCTTTGAGTCACTCATTCAGGTGGATATGAGGCTGGGGGCTGGGCGGGGGTTGGGGGGAGAGGAGGGTAGCCTGGTGTGGTTTGGAGGGGCTGGGAAAGGGAGGAGTGAGGGCAGATTCTGGGGGTGTCTGAGCTGCCCCTGGGATCCCCGAATTGGGGAGAAGCAGCAGGTGGGGGCACACTTAGTTGGAGGGTGGCATTTGTTCTGAAGCCTGGGCAGAGGTCTGTGGCCTGAGGGGACCTGAGAACCATCAGCTTGGCTCATGGGGGTCTGGACCCACTGTGAGGAGGTGAGAGGCGGCCCAGGAGCCACCGCAGAAGCAGGCAGACCTCGAAGGAGGCAGGTGCAGGGTCTGTAGGAGCAGGAAGTGAGCACTGAGCTCCCGGGAAGGTGATGGAAGAAAGATTCCAGGCACAGCTGCTCTGTGCTGTGGTTGCTGTGGCCAGGAGAGAGGGTGGCCTTGCTGAGTCCTGCCCCACCCTGACCATCACCTGCCACGGCCGCACAGGCCTTCACCCACACTCTATGTGGCTGTGGCTTTCAACTCCGTGGCATGTGGTGGGGGGCTGCTACTCCGCTCCCTCCTGTGCCTGGGGCCGACTCCCCGGCAGGGCTCAGCACCCCAGAAATAAGCTGTAGTGGGAGAGGCAGCGGGAACCCTGCTCCTCCACTGGCAGAGGCCCCCTGTGCTCCAGCTGCCCCAGGCTTTGGCACTCCTGTACCCCTCCCTCTCCACAGACAGCAATCTGAAGGAGGACAGATATGGCCTTGAGAACGTCTACAGCCACTTCCGGCCCTCCTTGGAGACCGTAGACCCTGCCACAGAGGTGACTCAGCTGGGAGCTCCCCCCCATCCCCGGAGCTTCCCCCAGGGCTTCCCCCTCCGCTGGGGCTCCCCATCGGCTCCTGTCGGCCTCACCTCTTCTCTCTCACCCTCCAGCTCCGCATCCAGAGGCCCAAAGTGGTGATGCCCACTCGGTGAGGCAGCAGGGCCCCCCTCATAGAGATCTGGACAAGAGAGGGCAGAGAGCCCCCCACAGGCTCCCCACTGGCCAAGAGGAAACTGAAGCCAGGCCCTGAAGCTGCCCTGCTCAGAGCTGCCAGACGCGGCAGGTCCTGCCAGCGCCCACCAGGAGGGGTGGGGGCTGTGAGCACCCCATCCAGGGGCCCCAAGGCTCCCAGACATCTTGGCATCCTCGATTGCTTCTTGGTGACCCCCTGTCCTGGAATTTCCTACCAATAAAAGCAAATCTTAAAGTGCAGAATATGAAGTGAGAGGTGTCTTTCCCCCATTGCAGTTTGGGGGTGCTGCAGGGTAGGCGGGGTGGGGACCCCTCTTGGGGAGACCATCCCTCCCAGGCCTGGGTGCCAAATCTGGGCCCCTTCCCTGCTCCAGCCAGGCAGGGCCAGGCCCACCTCTGCCTGAGGTCTCTGTGGCAGACAAGCCTGCGGGCAGGTCCTGGGAGCAGGAGTGGACCTTAAGCCCAAGGAGTGAGGAGAGGGAACCTCTGATGACCAAGGAATGAGCAATTGGCACAGCTGAACTTGGGCAGGGCAGGGTCACCCCAGATGGCCACGGAGGGCTGTGCTTTCCTCTGAACCCGCACACCCAAGAACCCTGACCATCCCAGGCTGGGCACTGGCCCAAGTGTGGCCACAGCCTGCACCCCATGTCCCGGTGCATGGGCTAGGGCCAAATGCAGGGTGCCCTTCTCCTCTCATGCTGGGGCCCGGCCCCTCTTGTCCACCTGTCCCCTCCCTCTGGGGGTCTCCTCCATTCTCCCAGGCTGCTGCTGACCCTGTGTGCCCATCTTTTAGGGTGATCAGTCTGATGGCTCATATGCCTGTGTGCTGCAAGGGAGGGGCTCCTCCTCCCTCTGCCCTTTGGCCTGGAGCGGGCCTTGCAACTTCCAGTCATGAGGGAAGCTCCCCAACTGACTCAGGTCCAGGGTGGCCCCCCAATCCCCAGTGTCAGGGACCAAAGGTCTCCAGGGCCCATTTATTTCTGAGTTTCCCGGGCTGACATTCATTCTGCGGGCTCCCACGAGAGCGAAGCTCCGATGCCGAGGCTGGTGACAGTGGCGCTGTGCCTGCTGGCCCTCATCCTCCAGCTCCCGAGCCCCCATGCTACAGTTGAGCAGGGTAAGTGACCCCAACCCGGGGAAGGGCTGCCTCCCGGGCTCTGCTGGGGGCCCCGTAGAGCTTAGCCTCACGCCTGGACTCCTCTCCTCTCCCCGAGAGCTCTGGGGGAAGAGCCAGGTCTTTGGAGCCTCCACATCAGCTCTGGGAGCCTCAGTTTCCTCTCCAGAAAGGAGGAATAATAGCGCCTACTTGTCAGGGCTGCCACCAGGGTGAAATGGAATCCCTCGGGTTGATCCTAGGCACAAAACAGGTGCCATCCGATGTGAGGATCTATCTATAAGGAATGCTCCCGAAAACTCTCTCACTCCCCACCCTGCACCAGTGCCCAGGGTCTTCCTTACACGATGCAGGCACCCGCCTTACAGCCCCCTCCCTCCAACTCTCGTCCTGGCCGGTCCTGCCTCAGACCAACCCTGCCTTGCTCCCCGAGGATGTTGCAGGGCTATAGCCAAATAGGCACAAGATGGGGTTTCCGGAGCCCCCGATTCTAATCCCGCCATGAATCAGCTGTGTGCCCTGGGGCCTCTCAGTGCACCTCTGGTCTCAGTTTCTCTTCTGAAAAGACAAGGATTAGGGCCTTTGAGGATCCTCCCATCTCAGCTGCTTTGGGCTCCATGGCCACAGGGGACAAGGCTCAGGTCAGCAGGAGGTGACAGTGGGTCCCGGCAGGACCCTCTGAGAGCTACCCCCTGCCCCTCACCTGTCCCAGAGGAGGGAGGGGGACCAAGACAGATACTGTAGCCATGGGGCTCAGGATTCCTCCCTGAAATGACATTCCTACCCTGTGAGGATGTCATCCAGAGCTTCTGGACTAAGAGTGGTTAAAAAAATACCCGTGATTCCTACACTTTCTTTTCTTTTCTTTTCTTTTCTTTTCTTTTCTTTTCTTTTCTTTTCTTTTCTTTTCTTTTCTCTTTTCTCCTTCCTTCCTTCCTTCCTTCCTTCCTTCCTTCCTTCCTTCCTTCCTTCTTTCCTTCTTTCCTTCTTTCCTTCTTTCCTTCTTTCCTTCTTTCTTTCTTTCTTTCTTTCTTTCTTTCTTTCTTTCTTTCTTTCTTTCTTTCTTTCTTTCTTTCTTTCTTCAGTCTCACTCTGGTGCCTGGGCTAGAGTGCCGTGGCATCAGCCTAATTCATAGCAACCTCAAACTCTTGGGCTCAAGTGATCCTCCTGCCTCAGCAGAAGGCAGGGACTGAGTTTCTGAGTTTCCTTGGCTGATGTCCATTCTGTGGGCTCCCATGAGAGTGAAGTGCCGAGGCTGGCAATGGTGGCGCTGTGCCTGCTGGCCCTCATCCTCCAGCTCCCCAGCCCCCATGCTGCGGCTGAGGACTACAGGCACAGGCCATCACGCCCGGCTAATTTTTTTCTCCTGTTTTTAGTAGAGACAGGGTTTCACTCTTGCTCAGGCTGGTCTCGAAAACCTGAGCTCAAGCGATCCTCCCGAGTCAGCATCCCAGAATGCTAGGATTACAGTCGTGAGTCACCACGCCCAGCCAATTCCCATACTTTCTATGCTCCCAATCCTTGGTCACGCATCTCTTACAGTGGCACTTTAGATAACACCGTAGGCCTTAGTAGCAGAGGATATTCCTGCTTCCTCCCATCCCTCCACCCCGCTCTCCTCTCCTTTCTTTCCCTCTGCTTCTCCCTTCCTTCTTCTCTCCTCCTCTTCCTTGCCCCCTCCTGACTCCCCCACATACCATATGCTGTGGCTAATGTCATCTCCAGCCTCAGTCTTCCCCTCTGTAAGATGGGAGCATCCAGACTCTCTGCTCCTGCTCCCCAAGATTCTGTGGGTCCCTCCTCCATGGTGCAGAGTCTCCAGGGCCCTGGCCACCTCTGAGTGGCCTCTGACCCTCCCATATCCCCTCTGGGGACCCAGAGCCTGTCCTTGGGCCACGGAGCTGGGGATGCCAGGACAGGGCGTGGATCTAGAGAAAGAGCCTAATTGCCTTTCCTGGTAGACACGCCCACTCATCTTACAGCTCACCTGGTTATATTGCATATCAGCAAAACACAATGTCCTCTCTGCTGGCCCAGCCCTGTCCTGCCTTGGCATGTGCCCTCTCACCTCCATACCTGTGTGACTGTGACCACAGCTGGGGAGCTAAGTCACCTGTCCACAGCATGTGTCCCTCTGCCCTTTCCCGATACCTGGCCGGGCGCTTTCAACCCCCCCCCCCCCGCCGTGTTTCCACCACATGTCACATGCTCTCTTCCTGGAGAGTCTGAGGAGCACACATTCAAGTGCCCACGCTGTCCTCTCAACACGACCCGCCTCCTCCTAGGAGCCTTCCCAGGAAGCTCCACTAACTCCCCGAACTTCAGACCCATCCCTGCAACCTCACAGGGGACCAGGAAGAAACTGCACTTTCTCCCTGGGGCTGTCATAATAGGATATCGCCAGCTGGGTGGCTTAGAACAGCAGAAACGTGTTGTCTCACCGTTCCAGAGGGAGTCTGCAACCAAGATGCGGGCAGGGCCACGCTCCCTTTGAAAGAGCTGGCCAAGGGTCTGTCCCAGCGTGTCTCCCAGTTCTGGTGGTTGGCGCGCCATGTCAGGCCTTCCTCGGCTTCACCTCAGTCTCTGCCTCCATCTTCACGGGATGTTCTCCCTGTGTACGTGTCTCTGAGTCGGATTAGGGTCCATGCTAGTGACCTCAATTTAATTTGATCACCCGCAAAGACTCTGTCTCCAAATTAGGTCACGTTCTGGGGTACTGGGGGTTGGGGCTTCAACTCATAACAGAAAGGATTGAGAGGAGACCCTGCGGGGTAGGGGGTGGGGAGTCGGCCTTTTAAAAGGAAGTTATTGCTATTAGCCAGAAAGAAGAGTGAGAGAGGAAGCCGGTGGAGAGAAGAGGTGGGTGGCCCTGGTGGCGCCTGCCACCCCCTCCAGTGAGGAGGCCACTGCCTCGTCTGCCCGGCCCCTACCCAACCCACAGCCCTGCTCTCCTGAAATCCAGGTGAACTCTTCTGGCCTCAACATGAACAATCTATTTCTCTGTAGTTGGTCAAAAACAAGAGGTGGGGGAAGATTAGAACCAACATGGAAAAAAAAAAACCTGAGCCATGCCCTCATAGTGGATGTTATGAACTTGATTGCTTGATGTGTGGGGTCCTCACCCCCAGTACTGTCCCAGGTCTGGTCCCTTCTGTCCCCTCAGCCCTGCCCCAGCCCTGCAGTCTAGAGCTTCCTTCGCACTCCACCCTCTCCCCACCTTTCGGGAATCAGTAAGGTCAGGGCCTTCAAGGAAGAAGTGGGTGAAGATGCTGACCTTGAATCCTTGGACTCCTGTATTTGTCCCGATTTACTGGCAGGAGCCAGGCCCAGGCTGGGACAGGGATGGGCAGGTTCCATCTTTGCCACAAGGATCACTGGTTCTGGGCCTTCTTGGTCTCATGGAGCTGCTTTTCCTCCTCATCCTTGGCCAGCCTTGGCCACCAGCACCTCACAAATTGGGTGACTTCAGGTAACTAGTAGTGCTGAGATGATGGGCCCAAGACCTCTCGTCAGGGTCTAGGCTGGACTGGTTATGAAATTTGTAGGGCCCAGTGAAAAACAAACATGCAGCACCCTTTGTTCCAAAATTATTAAGAATTTCCAGAAAAAGACAAGGACAAGAAGGCCCAGCTTCTAGGCAATTGGCTGAAAACAAATCAGATTTTTAAAATCAATTTTTAAGTATTGGTCAAAAGTACATTCCCAGTCACAGCTTTCTCAGCTGTTGCAGTGGGTGCACTATGGGAAGGGGTGTTTGAAAACTTCTAATATTTCTTTAAGACTGTATTTCAGAATGAGGGACTGGTTGGGGGGCTTTCTTTTACTGTTTTGATTTGTACATTTCTTTAATCATATTTTTTCAACTTCTTACTTCAAAAAATGCCAAACTTAAAAGAGAATAGATCTAAATGTATTTTCAAATTTATGAAACAATTTCAGTGATTCCATAATTTTTATATGCTTGACTCCAGCTCTAAGCAAACAATTGTTGGAAACCGATTGGCAGAAAACAAATACTTCCAACTACCAGCTCGTGTTTCTTCCACCTTTTGTACACCCTACAATGACTTGATTAACATCCAATGACTTGGATTAACATCCAAGTTGATGTTTTGTTTTTAAGGTGATCTTATCTGCTTTTGGGCTCATTTGGTTTTTAATTATTTTTGAAACAAAAAACGTAACTACTACTATTTACATTTTATCTTTTCATTAAAAGATAATAAAAAGTCTATTAATAGGGGGAAAGGGCATTTATTGAAACCTTAAAATCTGTACCCCCATAGTATGACGAAATCAAAAGAAAAGAAAAAGTCTATTAATAGACTTAGAAAGATAATAGATAGAAATATCATAAAAGATAATAGAAAGATAATAAAAAGTCTATTAGTTTACATCATTCTGGTGTGGATTAAGAGTAGTGATTGAGTGGGAAGGCTGGTTAGGAGGAGGGCAAAGGTCCCACACGTACCACAAATTGGGTGGCTTATACCCCAGAAACCTATTATTGTCTCACAGTTCTGGAGGCTGGAAGTTCAAGATCAAGGTGTCAGCAGGGTTGGTTTCTCCTGAGGACGGGGAAGGAAGGTCTGATCCATGCTTCTCGCCAGCTGCTGGTGGTTTGCAGGCAATCTTTGGCATTGCTTGGCATGTAGAAGCCCTCACCTTTCTTTTCTCCCCTCTTCCTCCTCCTCTGCCTCCTTTTTTTTTTTTAAGAATAAAAAGGTGCACTCGCTAGAGTCTGCTGTGCCATGTCGAACAGATTGGCAGGGAGCTTTCTTGTGTTGGTTCAGGGGCTTGTGTTCCTTCGTGCTGAGGCTTCACGCTTCCCTACTGCCCTGCTCACCATCCGCCTCCACCTGGCAGAAAGGAAGAACAATTGGTATCATCAGGGAAGGTTTTAAAGCCAGGTTTTAGCACCCATCCATGGTGCCCACATTCCACTGGAAAGTACTGAGCCACGTGTAATATTTACTTTCCTGAAAGCTGACTCCAGAGTTGGGCAAAAGATCTCTTCCTTACACCTGCACAACCTGACACGGCCCCACATGCTCCAGGCCCACCCCACCCCTGCCCCATCTTCTTGCTTCACTTCTATGGGGACAAGGTCCTGGTGCCTGATTGCTAACTGAGACTTAAGCATGCTGGTCCAAATGCCACAGCCTTTGCAGAGCACAGAGTGCAAACTCGGAGGACTTCCCGGGGGTGGAAGGAGGATTGCGACTCTAGGATCCTAATGTCTTTTCTCTCTTGCAGACCTCAGAGAGAACAGGGCTGTGTGGGATGGAGGTGGGTGCATCTCCCCAGAGGACCTTGGGGACCCTCGGTGCCAGCAGCTGGCTGGGAGCTATCAGGCAGGTGAGGAGACGTACTCAGAGATCTGGGAAGGGGTCACACCCACGAACAGACACAGCAATCCCCACCAGGCTGGTGAAACCACTGGATTGCAGGGTCTGTGACAGCTTAGGACCTGGGGCCAGGAATGACAATCCAAACCCGAAAGGACCCAACCAGGGAATGTGGGAGGGGATTCAGGCGAGGTCCCTTCCTGACAGGAGACAAGGGAGGGCAGGAAGGACACACATGCACTGGAGCATGGATTCGCCCAGCTCTCACAAGGGACTGTGACGGTGTCGCTCCTCTAACATGTTTTCTGTAAAATCCCCAAGTACAACACCATAAATGATGTGGAGAACCTGGAGAAAATGCCTAACGACATGTTTTATCTTCAACAGGTCATACTAATAATATCACTGTATGGGGACACACGACGAAGTCCACTGAGCCACGAGCTGGGTACAGTGACAATAATTCCTCACCCACAAGCACGCCATTACAAGCTGACAACTCCGCTGCGGGCACCACACATGGGGCCAGTCCTACTGAGTCCAGCCTACCACCTAACACGCTAGATGAAACGACCACACTTTTCAACCCTTCTACTGAATACAGTCCTTCACAAACAACTGAAGATGGCATCAGTCCCTCTCCACAGACGGACACAGTGCAAAGCAATCCCTCAACAGCTCTTCCTCACAGTACCCCACCCATGACGACTCCCAACGGGGCACGCACATTTCCTGTTGATGCCAACCCATCCTTGACCACTGTAGTTGAAGCCAGCTCTTCTCCGACCACAGTGGAAGGCACCACCCTGTCTTGGCCAACTCCCAGTGAAGGCAGCAGTCCATTAACTACTGTCCTCGTCAGCACGTTCCCTGGGACCAGTCCTACTGAGGCCAGCACTCCAGCAACAACTCCAGCTGCCACCACCACATATTTGCCCTCTTCTACAGAGGCCATCTCATCTTCTACCACTGTTGAAGGCACCACCGTTCCTTTGTCAACTCCGAGTCAAGGCGGCACGCCAAGTGCTAGTACTCACTTTAGCACTGCACCTGTCACGAGTCCCACTGAGGCCAGCAAACCTTCTGTTGATGCAACCATATCTGTGACCCCTGTAGTTGAGTCCAGTTCTCCTACCACAAGGGATGGCACCACCCTGCCTTGGTCAACTCCCAGTGAAGGCAGCAGTCCATTAACAACTGTCCTTGTCAGCACCTTGGCTGGGACCAGTACACCTGAGGCCAGCACACCTCCTGTTGATGCTACCACATCTTTGACCACTGTCATTCAGGGCCGTTCTTCCCCTACAACAGTGGAAGGCACCACCCTGTCTTTGTCAACTCCCAGTGAAGGCAGCAGTCCATTAACAACTGTCCTCATCAGCACATTCCCTGGGACCAGTCCTAGTGAGGCCAGCACTCCAGCAACAACTCCAGTTGCTACCACCACATATTTGCCCACGACTACACAGACCATCTCATTTTCTACCACTGTTCAAGGCAACACCATAACTTTGTCAACTCTGAGTGAAGGCGGGATGCCAAGTGCAAGTACCCTCTTTAGCACCGCACCTGGCACCAGTGCCACCAAGGCCAGCACACCTCCTGTTGATGCCACCACATCTGTGACCCCTGTAGTTGAGTCTAGTTCTTCAGCGACCACAGTTGATGGCACCACCCTGCCTTCGTCAACTCCCAGTGAAGGCAGCAGTCCATTAACAACTGTCCTTGTCAGCACCTTGCCTGGGACCAGTGCCCCTGAGACTAGCACACCTCCTGTTGATGCCACCACATCTTTGACCACTGTATTTGAAGCCAGTTCTTCTCCTACCACAGTGAAAGGCACCACCCTGCCTTGGTCAACTCCCGGTGAAGGCAGCAGTCCATTAGCTACTGTCCTTGCCAGCACCAAACCTGGGACCAGTCCCCATGAGGCCAGCACAACTTCTATTGATGCCACCACATCTTTGACCACTGTAGTTGAGTCCAGTTCTTCTCCTACCACAGTGGAAGGAACCACCCTGCCTTTGTCAACTCCCAGTGAAGGCAGCAGTCCATTAACAACTGTGCTTGTCAGCACGTTCCCTGGGACCAGTCCTACAGAGGCCAGCACACCAGCAGCAACTTCAGGATCTACCACCACATATTTGCCCACGGCTACAGAGGCCATCTCATCTTCTACCACGGTTGAAGGCAACACCATACCTTTGTCAACTCAGAGTCAAAGTGGCACTCCAAGTGCAAGTACCTTCTTTAGCCCTTCACCTGCCACCAGTGCCACTGACGCCAGCACACCTCCTATTGATGCCACCACATCTGTGACCCCTGTAGTTGAGTCCAGTTCTTCAGTGACCACAGTTGATGGCACCACCCTGCCTTCGTCAACGCCTAGTGAAGGCAGCAGTCCATTAACAACTGTACTTGTCAGCACCTTGCCTGGGACCAGTGCCCCTGAGACTAGCACACCTCCTGTTGATGCCACCACATCTTTGACCACTGTATTTGAAGCCAGTTCTTCTCC